GAAAAAGCCAAAAAGTTATTTGTCAGATTAAATCACAGAGATGTTATGTAATTTAAGATAAGTTAAAATTGATTAAATGGTGTAATAGATGGATGTTATGTACCATGAAGAAAGGTATGCTCTTTTGTAGGGATCTGAAATCACAAGTCGTGAAACCTTTTACTACTACAATGGGTGAAATGTGACTGTTTTGTGTTGCAGTGTTCAACCTGGAGAAGACCTTTAAAATGACATTTTCGCTACTTGTGCTTCATATGTGGCTTTGTTTGCGCCGCATGAAAGAAGAAGGAAAGGAGGGTGTTGAACTTGGGCAGTACCTGTATGAAATCTACAATCATGATGTGGAGCTGAGAGTGTCTAAAGCTGGGGTTTGTGATTACTTCTGCTGTCAATTCTCATATAATTTGCTCCTGAAATTTTATATTTTTCCCCTTACTGTGTCCCAAGTGTTAATTTCTAGGAACCTTAACCAAGATTCACTTCAAGTAAATGTATTTTTTTTTATAAAAATCTTATCAAACATATATAATGACTGCTGAGCTGGCTTATTATTTTGGAAAAGAACAAGTTGTCGGTCAGAGGTTATATGTTTATGTCTATTAGCTAAAGAAACAAAAACCTTGGCATTTGGGACTTGTCAAACCTTGCAAAATAAGAAGCAAATGAAATGAAAAGATTTAACTCATTTCTCGGCAGTTTTTTCTTTTGGTTCCTTGTATGATTTGAAGACAGAGTACAAGAAGGAAGCTATCTCATTTTTATTTACCCTTTCCCTTTCTTGACTGTATGAGATGTTTCCTATTTCTCAGTTGATCATCTTCGTTGCAGCTAGTGGTGTTTTCACTTAACGGGGTTAGGAATCTGTGGAGGCATTTTCATTTTTAGGGCATCAACTTAAAGCTTTACTTTTTCATTGTTGACATTATACTCAATTCTTTCATTGAATAGTTTCACTTATAGAAATATTGCTTTTCATCTTTGCGAGGCCAGGTCAACTTACTGCTAACAAAATGGATGAAGGAACTGGAGAAGATATTCTATGGAAACATTGTTGCATATGATGCTGCCTTGCTTCCAGAGCTAAACGAGATAAGCTACAAAATGTATTATGGAGTAAGCCCTCTTATAGATGTAGTGAAGACATTGCTTTATAATGAGTGACTATCATTGAGTATTAACTCATCCCATTTATTGACTGTTACCAACACATATTATTGTTACAACACATATTGGGATTCATGTGTTGCAGAATGTCTTTTCTGATGATGAACATCAAGCCTGATGA